AATGTTTAGCACGTTTTATTCTGAACAACAGATACCTTGTTTTTAGAGGGATCAAATTACAAATTGCTGATATTGTTTATCATATGTAATGTTTACCTTCGTAATGCTTACCTTTGTAACATATACCTTTGTAATGTTTACGTCCGTAATGCTTACCTTTGTAACATATACCTTTGTAATGTTTACGTCCGTAATGCTTACCTTTGTAACATATACCTTTGTAATGTTTACGTCCGTAATGCTTACCTTTGTAACATTTACCTTTGTAATGTTTACGTCCGTAATGCTTACCTTTGTAACATATACCTTTGTAATGTTTACGTCCGTAATGCTTACCTTTGTAACATATACCTTTGTAATGTTTACGTCCGTAATGCTTACCTTTGTAACATTACCTTTGTAATGTTTACGTCCTTTAATCCTTACTTTGTAACATTTACCTTTGTAATGTTTACGTCCGTAATGCTTACCTTTGTAACATTTACCTTTGTAATGTTTACGTCCGTAATGCTTACCTTTGTAACATATACCTTTGTAATGTTTACGTCCGTAATGCTTACCTTTGTAACATTTACCTTTGTAATGTTTACCTTTGTAAGAAGTATAATTAGGAAAATGTTTATTGTTTTATTGACCGGTTTTTACTACCATGTTATTTATGAAGAACTTAACTTCTTTTCTTAACTTCCCGTTTCAAACAACTTTAAGTCTACCAATTTCTTCAGAGTTCCTCTACTTTTGGCTGGAGATTAACTATCATTGGTAACCAATGAATGTATAAAAATAATACGAAATATAGATAAAAACATTTGCGTAAGGAATCAGTGGTACAGATCCAGCCGAGAAAGTGATAAATTATAGGTAAAATAAAGAGAAATGAAGAGAAGAATATAGGGCAGTGATGACCCAGCGGCAGAGGGGCAAGGCTAACCCCTCCTACCGGGGCTGGCCATAGCGGCTTTCCAGTACCTACCTGGATGCGTTGGCCATTGAAGTTAAGGAGACCCCAGAAAAATCATCGACCCCAGCGAGTTTTATTGGCCATGCAGCCGTTGGCCATATAGACTTACTCCTAACTATTGCTACCACCACCACCACAGATCAACACACCAACAGGAGCTGACATCACCAACGACCTTCACACACTTGTAGCTAACATCACTACTCACAAGTACACACCAGGAGCTGATATCACCGAAGCAGACATTACTGCAGATTAACGCAGCAACAGGGGTAGACATGAGAACAGACCAACAAACAACTGGCATGAATACAGATCAACACATAGCTGACATGATCACAGACCAAGAAACAACCGACATGAACACTACCAGATCAACACATAGTTGACATGATCCCAGATCAGCACACAGGAGACATGAACACAGACCAAAACACATCTGACATAAATACACATCAACACACAGCTGCACAGACTGACAGAGGTATCCCAGTACTCGATAACCCAGCCCACAGTGCTCAATGGATGCCACAGGAACAGTGCAGAGTGTGGCTTAAGCTGATAACATTAGCGTGAAAGATTCAATGGGAATCAGTAGAGGCATTAACAAATCACCATAAAGAAACTTAATATTCAAATTTCAATAAAAATTGTAAATTAAGATATTACACAACCCAAATCCAATTCAATCCTTTAAGTGACCAAAAGGAATAATATCTCAAAATTCACAAACACATTAATTAAGCTTGAAGTCGCTCACAAGCTACATTATTAGGTTATCAGCTTGGAATGGTGAAGCTAATCAGATGTGACACTCAGAAATTATCGCAAGGAAATCAGAATTTATTTTTTTTTCTAGTTTAAAAAAAAAAAAAGCAAATTTGGACCTACACTGGCCAAAATTAATTCAAACTTTTCTTCAAGACTGACCACCTTTTGAGAAAGTATATATGTAAGCTTTCTGTAAGCTTAGTGTACATTACATACAAATTTTTAACAATAGTCTTAATGGCACACACATATATTAAAGACATATACAAGAACATTAAGCTGATTTAACCTAAGATAACCAAATAAAGTCAGATTTTAACTTAATTCTGATAAAGGAGAGGCATTTTCCCGTTATTCCAGAGACTAATTTGATTAATAATGTTGTCACATAACTTACACATCAAGATTTTGTCTCCTTTGAGTAAAACACATCAGCACTAAAATTTAAAGTTGACCTGAAGATGCATTTTCCAGTTATTGCACAAAATCAAAGAAATTTTGTGACTACACCGCCTTAACCTATGAAGCATTCCATCCATAAATAACATTCCATCCATAAATAACATTCCATCCATAAATAACATTCCATCCATTTCATACGCTGCATCATCCATTAAAGACTGATACCACTCGTAATTGTCATATATAAAACAGTACAAGGCTAAACCCGCTTCACACGGTGTGTTCCCGGGTTCGATTCCCGGCGAGGGTTGAAACATTGGGCGTGTTTCCTTACACCGGCTATGTTCACCCATCAGTAAAAATGGGTACCTGGGTGTTAGTGGACTGGTGTGGGTCGCATCCTGGGACAAAACTGACCTACTTTACCCGAAATGCTCAGCATAACAAGCAGCTTTCTATATAGTAGTATGTTATTGATGTCAGCTATGGTCTGTATACCTTGTACATGTACTAGCAGAAATAAAGATATTAATATTATAAAGCTTGTAAAAGGGGAGGCATTCCAGTTAGCTCCAGACAAGAGGAAAATTAGGCCAGGTTCTTGGATCAAAAGCCTCTCGCCAGCATCAAGGCAAAATAATGCATAAGTTAAAATAATTCTGTACCATTTTGAGATGAAAAGCAGCAAAATGGTATCTACATACTCCATTAAATATTCCAACCTTCAGTCTGATACACCAGTGTTGAAATTTTGAAGCCGGTCAGAGGAGCTTGTCTCCACCTACCACACCCCATTCAGGAATGTTCCTTGACGTTAGTGAGGGGGCTCTTGATCTAGGGAATTGGAACTGTGCTCCAGTTCCCTGAATTAAGCCTCAATGTCTTCCACATCCCCCCCCCACAGGTGCTACATAATCCTACGGGTTTAGCGCTCCGTCTTGATTATAATAATAATAATAATCCACCTATCACACATTAACAAAATTTGGGAATGACCTGTTATACTGCGCACAGGTCACTACTTATGCAGATAATCCCACGAATCTTGTCCAAGTTATATTACACACGTCGAAAATCCGAAGCTGGACGAATAATGTATTCTTGAATAATAAATTCAAACTTGTGAGAAAGCAAATGAAAATGTTACTGAGAATGTTGCATAAAATAAGAAAGTTTTTCCCTCGTTAAACTTAAAAACTCCATAAATTCGCGGATTTTCATTTTTTTTTTTCAGTTTACTTTTCTGATTTACATCATATTTAAACTTCTCTACAATCCTGCAAGAAAAAATATTTGATTTTATTTGAAAAATTTAATTTCGTTAAATTTACCCCCCAAAAAATGGCAAATCTACACCCTCACAGCCCAAAATTAATGCAAAAATACTTGGAATTAAGATACAGGGTTTGAAGCTGATAAAAAGAGGCATTCTCTTGTAATTTCCTTAATAAAATTGGCAAATTTAAATAAACGCAGCTTAAAGTGAAGAACAAATTGTGCTGTAATGAAGGTCATCAATGGTAAAAGTTTGAAGCCGATTAGAAAAGGCATTTTCGAGTAATTGATCTGTTTCTAACGTACAGTAAAAATTTAAATGTGAACTTACTCAGTCTAAACTTATGATTTATAATTCTTCGCATAATATTTAAAAGCCAGTCAAAAAAAAAAACATTGAACATTAAAATGGTATAAAATACCGACAGGTTGTTAGGTAAGACACATATGCAACAGTTAGGTATCTTTATTATGAAACGTTTCGCCTACACAGTAGGCTTCTTCAGTCAAGTACAGAAAAGTTGATAGAAGCAGAAGATACTTGAAGACGATGTAATCAGTCCGTCTTCAAGTATCTTCTGCTTCTATCAACTTTTCTGTACTTGACTGAAGAAGCCTACTGTGTAGGCGAAACGTTTCATAATAAAGATACCTAACTGTTGCATATGTGTCTTACCTAACAAAAAAAACATTCTTTAATTATTGAATAAAAAATTAATATCACTATTCAATAAAACTGGCAAACTGGGACTTACGCCAGCCAATAGCAGCGTGAGCTTTGTTTTCAGGAAACTACAACAACGATCAAAATTTGAAGCCGATCAGATGAGTCATTCTCCAGTAATGGCACGGAATCCAACGTTTCCAAATTCTTTTTACTATTTTACTGCATAAAAAAAAATTTGCCTGCAAGCAAACGAAACTGAGAACTTTGGAAGTCATCCGAGACATTCCAGGAGAATGGAAATTATCATCTTTGGTCATAAAGAACATGAACATGTTTATTGTTCCAAGAATTTGGTTCTCATTACCGTACACATGCTTTGAAAACTTGAATCTGATTGGATGAAGCGTTCTTGGCAGACGGTAAGTGTTGAAACCTTGAATCTGATTGGATGAAGCGTTCTTGACCATACACAAGTGTTGAAAACTTGAATTTGATTGGATGAAGCGTTCTTGACAGACGGTAAGCGTTGAAAACTTGAATCTGATTGGATGAAGCGTTTTTGACCGTACGCAAGTGTTGAAAACTTGAATCTGATTGGATGAAGCGTTTTCGACCGTACGCAAGTGTTGAAAACTTGAATCTGATTGGATGAAGCGTTTTCGACCGTATACAAGTGTTGAAAACTTGAATCTGATTGGATGAAGTGTTCTTGACCGTACTCAAGTGTTGAAAACTTGAATCTGATTGGATGAAGTGTTCTTGACCGTACTCAAGTGTTGAAAACTTGAATCTGATTGGATGAAGCGTTCTCGAGTTATGATCGAAATAAAATCGAAAAGCTGTAGGAAGATACTGTATAGAAAAAAAAAACAGGCAACTATTCAATGTATCTTTCAAGGGCTTCCTTGAAAGATACAATCTTACCTTTATCAGCTGATGTCTGTCACTTATTTTGTTTACACCGCACGAACTTGCTCAAGTTTAACACGGGTATGCACGATGGCAGAGTTAATACGAGATATATGGTTGGTAAAAATGCAGAAATCTCATTTGTTGCCAGTAAGTAATGTGGCAACTTGCGCACAGCACCGAGCCTGGTGGTGGTGGGCGCAGCACCTACCTCCTCTCAGTACTGCCAGAGTAACACTGAAGCTGCATCCTATGAGAAAGAGCCGGAGACTGTTCATGTGTGGCCATCACTAGATGTGCAGTTGTCTCTGGCTGTGCTGCTGCATTTGGCTGTGTCTTCCTCTAGCTTTGATGATTTTTTCTCACTTAATGACTGCCTCTGGCTGTGTGGCTGTCTCTGGCTGTATGGCTGTCTCTGGCTGTGTGGCTGTCTCTGGCTGTGTGGCTGTCTCTGGCTGTGTGGCTCTCTGGCAGTGTGGCTGTCTCTGGCTGTGTGGCTGTCTCTGGCTGTGTGGCTGTCTCTGGCTGTGTGGCTGTCTCTGGCTGTGTGGCTGTCTCTGGCTGCGTGGCTGTCTCTGGCTGCGTGGCTGTCTCTGGCTGCGTGGCTGTCTCTGGCTGTGTGGCTGTCTCTGGCTGCGTGGCTGTCTCTGGCTGCGTGGCTGTCTCTGGCTGCGTGGCTGTCTCTGGCTGCGTGGCTGTCTCTGGCTGTGTGGTTGTCTCTGGCTGTGTGACTGTCTCTGGCTGTGTGGTTGTCTCTGGCTGTGTGGCTGTCTCTGACTGTGTGGCTGTCTCTGACTGTGTGGCTGTCTCTGGCTGTGTGGCTGTCTCTGGTTGTGTGGCTGTCTCTGGCTGTGTGGCTGTCTCTGGCTGTGTGGCTGTCTCTGACTGTGTGGCTGTCTCTGGCTGTGTGGTTGTCTCTGGCTGTGTGGTTATCTCTGGCTGTGTGGTTGTCTTTGGCTGTGTGGGTGTCTCTGGCTGTGTGGCTGTCTCTGACTGCGTGGCTGTCTCTGGCTGTGTGGTTGTCTCTGGCTGTGTGGTTGTCTTTGGCTGTGTGGTTGTCTCTGGCTGTGTGGCTGTCTCTGACTGTGTGGCTGTCTCTGGCTGTGTGGCTGTCTCTGGCTGTGTGGTTGTCTCTGGCTGTGTGGTTGTCTCTGGCTGTGTGGTTGTCTCTGACTGTGGGGCTGTCTCTGACTGTGGGGCTGTCTCTGGCAGTGTGGCTGTCTCTGGCTGTGTGGCTGTCTCTGGCTGTGTGGCTGTCTCTGGCTGTGTGGCTGTCTCTGGCTGTGTGGCTGTCTCTGACTGTGTGGCTGTCTCTGGCTTTGTGGCTGTCTCTGGCTTTGTGGCTGTCTCTGGCTGTGTGGTTGTCTCTGGCTGTGTGGCTGTCTCTGGCTCTGTGGCTGTATACAGTTGTGTTACTGCCTTGGATTTTGCGGCTGCGAGTATGCTTGCCTCTACTTCCAAAGTATTGTCTGTTTTAGGTAAACCATCTCCCGGTTTTAAACCGAATCTTACTTCCATTCACCAGTCTAGGAAATTGGTAAAACAAGAAGTTTAAAAGTGTACCTGTCTTTACCGAACAAAAACATCGTGTATAAACGAATATACAGTCTCCAGGAACAATATCAGTTACAAGATATAACATATTAATATATTTTCGACAAGCCTCTTGCAGGCATGCCAAATATTATTTAAGTCACAAATTATTTTAAATTCAACACCGGATTAATCATATCAAAGACACATCATATCAAAAATTTTGAGACCTGAACAAGTATGAAGGTGAGCAACTCTCATAAGACCCCAGGTCTTAGTGACTAAATCCACAAAATACTGCAAGTAGACATCATCAAGGCAATTACTGACACTGGCCATTCAGTCCTACAAGAAGTTGAATTCACAAAGCTGGGTAAGTGCTAAGTCCGTTTACTATTTAAAATGCAGAAGCAAGCTTTTCCTTGAGATACCAGATCAAATAATGCAGAAATATGTTTAGTACACCAGTCCACAAAGGGTAATGATACCAAACAAGTCAATGTAATTCCACAAGAAACAGATGAATCAAAAGATTAAGCCAACACCCACATCACAGTGGCTAAGTCGTAACTAATGGTTATAACTATGACCATAATTTTTAAAGGGGTGGACCGGTAAGCCAGGATAAGGCCTCGGTCAGATGACCAAAAGCTCCAACGGCTGGTTATCATTTAAGGCCCACGTCCGGAAACGCTTGTCCTGTTTCCTGACGAACCTTACCTAACCTAGTGGTTACGTCCCAAAAGCAGAGTACAACAAGTTGATAATGCAGTTAGATGTAAAGTAAAAGGACACAAGTGCAACTAATGTGACATTTTATTGTGGCAACGTTTCGCTCTCCAGGAGCTTTATCAAGCTCCTGGAGAGCGAAACGTTGCCACAATAAAATGTCACATTAGTTACACTTGTGTCCTTTTACTTTACATATTGTCGGTAATTCTACCAACTTTATTACAATGCAGTTAGATATCAGCACTAAAGGGAATCACCAGAAGCTTTCAAAAAAAATATGGAAACTAAACATGACTCACAAAATCGTAATAACATGACTGCAAACAAACGATCTGTCCTGTGAATTTTAGGACTCACCATGGTTCAAATCCTCACCCCGTTCCTTGTTTGTTTTTTTTGTGGAAATTGATATTCAGATTTGTTCATTAACAATTGTAATGTAAAGTAAAAGGACACAAGTTCAATCTAATGTGACATTTTATTGTGGCAACGTTTCGCTCTTCAGGAGCTTTGTCAAACCGTTACAAACAGTACATGGACACAGAAGGTATATATAGGCATAGAGTGAGGTGCAATACTAGTGGTAGTAGTAGTAGTAGTGATATAAGTAGTAGTAGTAGTAGTAGTAGTAGTAGTAGTAGTATTAGTAGCAGTAATACAATATGTTAGAACAATTAACTTGCACATGAGTAAAGGATATAAAAACTATTACTTGGGAAACAAAAATTGGTTAGACAAATATTTCTATTGGAGGCTGGATAGAGAAGGTCTGTTTCAATGTTCATTCTCTGTTATGTGCTTGTGTAGTATTAGCAGGAGAGACTATGTGATGGCAGGGTTTACTGTTTTCAGGAGGGTTCTTGCTAAGACTTCAGAGATGGTGAAGCTGCCTTTGTTTTGTTAATTGTATTAGAAACAGCTGTTAGTGAAGATTCAAGGCACTTGCGTCTGCGGAAATTAGTTTCTTTGATCACTAGTTGGGCGTCCCTGAACTTCATGAGATGATTGGTGGAATTTCGGTGTTGTACACAGGCGTTGTTCAAGTTATCGTTCCTACATGCGTAAATGTGTTCATTGAGGCGGGTGTCGAGGTTTCTTGCTGTTTCACCTACATAAATCTTGTCGCAGCCTCCACAGGGTATAGTGTAAACCCCTGCATTGACTGGTTCGTGGTGCTTGGATTTTGTTCTGGTTAGATCCTTTATCGAAGTGCTGGAAGCGATGGCGACTCTGGTGTTAGCTTGTGAAAGTACTTTAGAAACGTTCAGTGCAACCTGGCTGTTGGGAAGAATTATAACTTTGTTGGGAGTGGTGTTGGTGCGTGGAGAATTTATGATCTGAAGAGCTCTTTTCTTGCAGTCTTTGATGAAAAAGGAAGAAAAATGTAAATCTGTAAAGGTTCGGTGAATGTATGTACATTCCTCGTCAAGAAACTCAGGACTACAAATTCCGTATGCTCTTAGGAAAAACCCGATGATTATGCCTCTTTTTGGCTTAGTATCTTGACTGGAATAGAAGTGTGTGAGATCATTTTTATTGGTAGGTTTCCGATAAACTTGAAATCTTAGGCTGTTGTCTACTTTGTGAATGAGGACGTCGAGGAAAGGTAGCTTATCATTGGACTCTTCTTCTAGTGTAAACTGGATCGCCGGTTCAACTGCGTTGAGCCTTGCCTATAGATTCCGTACATCAAAACGTTTGGGAGTTATTACGAGGACGTCGTCCACGTAACGTAACCAAGTGACGCTTGAAGGGATGATGTTGGCGAAGTGTTCGGACTCTAGATGTTCCATGTATAAGTTGGCTAGGACGGCACTGATGGGGGACACCATTCCCATGCCGTAGGTTTGTTTGTAGAGCTTGTTATTGAAAGAAAAACAGTTGAAATTAACACAGAGTTCAATCAAGTCAACAAAATCTCCGGGAGGTAAAGGAAGATTAAGGTCCTGGTTGACTTTACGTCGTAGAACCTCGATGGCTTTTGTGGTGGGTACTTTTGTGAAGAGGGAAGTCACGTCCAAACTGCTTAGTTTCTTGTTACGGACCAATCACCTCAGGTATAGGCAGTGCACCACACGAACTAGCCGGAGTTCTTGCCAAACATCTTTCCTGCCTTCTGGGGACCATCAGCCCCGCTCATCTTAAACATTCAGGCGACCTTCTCAACCGCATCCGAAACCTCTCCATCCGTAACAAGAAACTAAGCAGTTTGGACGTGACTTTCCTCTTCACAAAAGTACCCATCACAAAAGCCATCGAGGTTCTACGACGTCAAGTCAATCAGGACCTTAATCTTCCTCTACCTCCCGGAGATTTTGTTGACTTGATTGAACTCTGTGTTAATTGCAATAGCCAGGTTGCACTGAACGTTTCTAAAGAACTTTCACAAGCTAGCACCAGAGTCGACATCGCTTCCAGCACTTCGATAAAGGATCTAAGCAGAGCAAAATCCAAGCACCATGAACCAGTCAACGCAGGGGTTTACACTATACCCTGTGGAGGCTGCGGCAATATTTATGTAGGTGAAACAGCAAGAAACCTCGACACCCGCCTCAATGAACACATTTACGCATGTAGGAACGATAACTTGAACAACGCCTGTGTACAACACCGAAATTCCACCAATCATCTCATGAAGTTCATGGACCTACTCATGATCAAGATAATCTAATTTCGATACTACAACTACTGCCTCTCTAATCTTCACTAACAGCCTATTTCTAATACATATTAACTAAACAAATACAGGCTTCGAACGCTGTAAAGCTTGAGCGAAAGTTGCCCAATGAAAACAAGTTACACTTGGTCCACTTACATAGTCTCATTCCTCTAATTTTATACACAAGTAATTAGAACATGCAACCAATGAATCAACCTTCCTATCCACAAATAAAAATTTGCTCTCACAATTTTATGTTTACAGAGATTAAGCTTTTATTCCTACATTCAATTAATTTCACTGAACCAAATTTATTTT